GCACAGGGGGGTGGCTGTGGGTCAGAACCAAGCGCACGGCACAACAGCCACACTCTACACCAAGCCTACCCTCCTCATCAACCCGGTGCACTCCTCGCCGAGCCCCTCCCACTCGTCAATAAGCCCCTCCCACTCCGTACCAAGGTTTCCTCTCCTCGCTAAGCCCCTCCCACTCCTTGTCAGGCCCCTCCCACTCCTTCCCAAGTCTCTCCAATCCAATGTCAAGCCCTCCACTCCCCACCAAACCCCTCCCACTCTTCTTTGCCTCCTCCAAGTAGGTGAGAAGGAGCTCTGGTGGCAGGGTGCCTAAGGCACTTGACTGCTAACCAGAAGGCTGGCGGTTCAAACCCACCAGCCACTCCTGGGAAGGAGGGTTGGGGCAATCTACTTCTTCAGAGATACTGCTTCGGAAACCCAAGGAGGGGTCACTATGAGTCGGATCCGACTTGACGTCAGTGAGTTTGGTTTGGTTTGGTTAGTAGGTGAGAGGACAAAAGTTTGAAGCTAGACACCCGGGAGTCATCATTCCAGGGCGAATGGAATTAGTCCTGTAGCCTTGGATAAAACCAACACAAACTCTCTTCCTCTATAAATGCGGGCAAATGCAGTACCTACCTCATAGAGTGGGAGGATTAGGCAAAGCCGTGGCAGTGTGTGTGCTATGAACTTGCTTCGCTGGGTGCATGGTAAAGACTCGCGAGGAAGCTGTTCTCGTTCCCAGTATCCTTTAAGTCCCTCCTCCTTTCCTGAAAGCCCCTCCCTGCGTTGCTAAGTTTTTCTGACTTTTTGGAATCCCACTCTTCACTAAGACGTGCCTCCAAAACTCCACACTCAAATAAGCCCGGTTTTTTGCAAGAGCCTGTCCATGCAACTGTCTCTTCTTAGCTGTTCCTCTCTTAAGAAGTCCCTTCCTTTCCTTTCTAAACACTGTTAACCTTGAGTCGATTCCGACTCACGACACCCCATGATTATAGAACTGCTCCAAAGGGTTTTCTCCGCTTTAATCTTTAGGAAAGCAGATTGCCATGCCTCTCTTGCACAGCACCGCACCACTAACACTGCAGTTAGTAATCGAACGCAAACCACTTCCCTCACCCAGTGACCCACTTCTCTAACGCCCTCCAACTTACACACCTAAGCCTGGTCCCTAACCCCAGCCCCTCACCATGTCCAGCACCTTCTCCAAGCTACAACCCTAGACAAACTCCACCTCTTCTACTCTAAGCTCCTCCCCATTTCCCCACTAGCCTCAAGGCTTCTTCCACTCTTCAACCTAGGACCCTCCCATCATTCTCTTCGAGCCACGCCCCTTTATAAAACCCCACCCCTTTGACTTAAGCTCCGCCCATTGTATCTACAGCCCAGCCAAATCCCGCCCACTTTCACTCTAAACCACGCCCCTAGAGCTCCTCCCAGTCCTTGCTCCGCCCCAACCGCCACTTAAGCCCCGCCTCCTCCCAGAGCCTGCCTGCTGACTTGCTGTCCTCCCCCCAAGTCCGCTCCAGGCCCCAGGCCCTGAAAGCTGGCTTTTGTGCCCCTCCCCCTGTCCCTAAACGTGCGGGCCCCCGGCGCCTCGGTCAGGGGCAGGTCAGGCGGGACTCGGGGGCCAGGCGTATCCACCTCACTCTTAGGGAGGGGGGTTCTGGAGACCTGGAGCGGCCCCGGGAGGCCGGGGAAGTCGGTCGGCTTTCCTCTTTAATTACTTACACCTCCCTCTGGGCGCCGACATTTTGGGCAGCGGGAGTAGCGTCACTTCCACCCGGGGGGCCCTCCGACTTCCGCCTCGGCCCCCCCTTATTGCCCCTTCCTCCCGCCCTCTGGGCTCCCCCTTTCCCACCCCCGCCCTTCTCCCTCCTTTTCTTGCCATTCCCAGCCCTGGAGAAGGTTAGAGAAGTCAGGTTGGCGCCATCTTGGGTGAGGGCAAAGCGAACGGGTGTGTGTGTGGGGGGGAGCCCACCGCAGCGCCATATAGAGTAAGGGCAACAAGCCCGGCGCACGGCCTTCTGCCCCTCGGTGACGCTAGCGGATGCTAACGTAAACGAGGGCACATATGAGTCCCTTGACCCAGCTTTGGACCCCTCCCGGGTAGGCTGTAGAGTGGATTCACGAGAAAAAAGACACATCAAAGTGCGACAACTGCGATTTAAAGACGGGAGGAACAAACAGGATCCATCTTGTTCTTTTGGCCCTCGCTGGGCTTCGAAGCCTGTAGGAACCATGTTAACTAAGGGCAGTGGGAAGCCATTTTCCCGTTTCTCAAACATTCTGTCTTTGATTAGGTCACTCCGCTGGGTGCTTTGTGGGAGAAAAGACATTTCTATGTGCTGGGGATGTGGTGGTCGGGGTGATGACAGTGGGGTCACCTCCTCGACCCAAAATACGAGTGAAAGAAGGGAGGGGCTTGAAACGTCTCCATGTCGTTTCGGCCAAAGGAGACTGATGCGCAGTCGCAGTGTGCCCGTACGGACGTGACCGGGCCTTAGGACCCCGCGCGTCTGTCCTGCTGGCGGCCTCGGCGAGTCCCCTTTGTTCCCTGCGGGCGCGCGGACCCAACGGGAAAGGGGAGGGCGGGGCCGACGTGCGTCCGCTCCGAGGGGCGGGGCCG